TAGCAATCAGACAATCACACTGGTAAATGTGATCATCTAATAACACCATATTAACAGGCAATAAAATCACGGAGATGGAGTAGCTTTGCCTGTTGCTTCACAATATGCAAATAAATGTAAGGCTCTTTATTTGATAGATAAAAGTCTTGTATTTGTATACAATTATTTTTTTTGGGGTGCTATTATTAGTAGAGTCATTATATCAATGGTACCCCTTTCATCAGCCTCACAAAGAGTCCAAGTAGTAATTCTTCTTATGGGCAGGCCCTATTATAAAACATAAAAAATGCACCCTTGGCTCAATAAGCACTACCTTCCTTGTGTTTCTGTAGCCGGTCCACGACAGAACAGGTTGACATCAGGTAAAAAAATTTTTAATATACTCCGCAGATGTCAAAAAGGCTTGATGATATTACAATGATAAAGCTTGTTGATTTGGTGCCAAAACATGAATTTCTGCACAGGAAATTTAGTTTAAAATAATTTTAATACCACAGTTGCTTTTCCAGCTGCCTGTCTGCTTGAAGTTGCCTGTGTGTGTCTTCCGTGGATTCTTGGCTGACAGTCTGTCAGTGAGGTTTTAAAAATACATGCCCAGTTTTTCAGTCTCAGGACTACAGTAGAATGAATTGCCTGTACACGGACTCCTGTGGATATGGGCAATGATAATGAAGAAGATTTGGTGGTTTCCGCAATAAAACACATTTTATGTCTAATCAAAGCGATCAAATTTATGATGGTAGCAGTTTGAAGAATAAAGGTGTAATAAGATTGTATTTCATCATTAGTAAGATGGTCCAAATATTTTCCAGTCCATCCATTTTCTAATGAACTGATGAAACAGGAATGGAATACAGAGAGAACCTTTACAGAACCTTATATTTTAACACCCAGAGATTCCAACAAATCTTAACTATGGAGAAACAAGAAGAGTTTTTATGGACCAAAAACCCCAAAGTGGATGTTGCAATATCCAGATTAGCAAAGCAAACTATTTTTGCTGGGCGATGGATTGTAAGTCAGAAGAACAGAGCCTATGTGGTGGCATGTACCCAGGGTAAGATTCTTCTGGCTGTATTTGTATCAAGAGCTCAGAAACACTGACTATCTCAGTTGTAAAGACAAAAACTCCAAGATTTTGTATTTTCAATTATTGGATGCCTAAGATGGCAGTTGACAGTGATGCTTCACAAGAGTCACTGACATTGGACACCAATGCACCATTGCTTTAGTGGATGGTGCTCTTTATGAACCCTATCTGTAATCCCACATCATCAGCCTGCCCTGTTAGAACCAGTAAAGTTTTGGGGTAAAAAAGGTTAGACGTTAGAAGATAATCCTTTGTTCCTTATCATGAAAGATATCACGCAATGTACTCTTAATTTTTTTCTGACTCTAAAATCAGATGGTTCTAAATCAGTAAAACGGACACTTTCATAAGGAATTTGGATCCAAGAGATCGGATAGTTTTGTTGTCCCTCTATGATTGTTTTGTACTAGCAGCGCAATAACACAGGTATTTCTTGTGCCTGGCAGAATGGAAGCCTTGAACATTTCCAGCAGGTTACATTGAACATTTCTAGCAGGTTACATTGACTGATACTGAGCTTATTTTTGCTTTCTGATCACATCATTTTTGTGAGTGTTTTTAACCCCTTAGTGACCAGACTGCTTTTCAATTTTCTTAGCGTTTGGGACTAGGGCTGTTTTTACATTTCTCCAGTGTTTGTGTTTAGCTGTAATTTTCCTCTTACCCATTTACTGTATTCACACATTATATTATTTACTATAAAGCAAATTATAAATTATGCTGAAATTTTTTTTTTTTAAAACACTTTTTCGAACTTCAAAATCTGTTACGCATCTACAACCACCAAAAAACACCCATCCTAAATAGTTTCTAAATTATGTCCTGAGTTTAGAAATACCCAATGTTAATATGTTCTTAGTTGTTTTTTTTTTTGGGGAGGTGGTTCATGGGGCTATAAATTTTCGTGGTGAGGATAGACTTAAAATATTTTTGTTAAAATTTATCAATAGTGACATTGTAACACCATTATGTGTCATAAATCTCTGAATCACACCTCACATGTACATATCTTTTTAAAGTAGACAACCCAGGGTCTTTTTTAGTAGCCACTTAGTCACAAACACTGGCCAAAGTTAGTTTTTATATTTGTGCGTTAAAAATGAAAAAAACTATTATGAATGCTAATTTTGGCCAGTGGAGTAGTGACCTTTGGATTTAGCAGAGATTAGGTCATTAGTAACTTTGATAAGAGCAGTCTCAGTAGAGTGGAGAGGGCGGAAGCCAGACTGTAGAGGGTCAAGGAGAGAGTTGGAATTAAGGAAGTAAGACACACAGGTAAAGACAAGTCTTTCCAAAAGCTTTGATGAGAAAGGGAGCAGGGATATGGGACGATAGTTAGAGAGGAAGGATGGGTCAAGAGATGATTTTTTCAGAATAGGTACTACAGTGGCATGTTTAAGGTCAGCAGGAACAGTGCCAGAAGAGAGAGAGCAGTTAAAGATGTGTGTTAGGGTAGGCACAAGACAAGGGTAGAGAGATCTGATGAGATGGGACAGGATCGAGCGGGCAAGTGGTGGGGCGAGAGGAATGAAGAAGCCCAGCCACCTCTTGTTCAGTAGCCGTTGAGAAAGTCTGGAGGGTAGGGAATTTACGTGTGGTTGAGAAAGAGAATGGCAAGGAGGGGAGAATTGTTACCTTAGCTGTTCAATCTTGTCGGTGAAGTAGCATGCAAAGCTATCAGCTGTAAGGTATATGTGATCTAAGTATATATAATTTAATTTTAAACTGTAATTTTGCTGTCCATGTGATCATGAGGTCCTTGCAAGGACCTCGCAATCACTTGGCCCAGGAGGGCCAGAACGGAATGAGGGGGACTCCCTGGGATGCCGCCCCCTCCCCCTGTTTAGAGCCAGGTCCCCAAGGATGGCATAGCACGCCCACCATCCTTAAGGGGTTAATATATGTATATATTAATAAAAAAAACACACTTAGTATGTCGTTATATATACATATAATATATGTATATATATCTCATATATATACATATATGTATATATAAATATATATAAAACAATTTTTTATTTATTAACTTTATTTTTTTATTTTGAAACTTTTTTTCACCAGCAGGGGGACTGCCTGTCAGATACGTCCAAGGTCCTGGGGGGGGGGGGAGTATTTACATACATTTTTTTATTGAATTTTTTATTTTTCTTAATTTAACTTATTTTACTGAGTGCCCCAACCCCTCAAGGCACTCAGCAGACAGACAGAGCATCAGAAGCCTGTCTGATGGCTTCCGGTGCTCTGCCTCACTGCCGGACGCCACGTGGGGGAACCCAGAAGTAATCGCTCCGGAATAGCGATCACACGACGCCTCGGCAGTGAGGGGGGATATTGCAGGATGCCTCGACTTTCAGCGCTCATATTTAGTGAGTTAGTGCATATTATAGTGCATATTATTCTTCAAGCACGGAGGAAGTTCATATCACGAATCATGAAAAATTTTGCAATTAGCACCATCAAAACCCCTCCTGATTTAGCAGCTTGGGAACTTCTGACTCTCCGAAATTAATAGTAGAGGCGGGGAGCAGTGACTGGCAAAACTCCAGGTAAGAGGGTAAACCATTAAAAAACGGTTTGACTACTTACAATAGAGGGGCACCAGAAACTCCAGGCAGCATCAGCACTACAGCAATCGAGTTCCTTTAATATGTATCAATGATTTTGTCTAATTAATCCTTTCAGAGGACGTGACATTCAAAAGTTGCAAATACATAACTGTTGATAATTGGTGCTAATCCTTTTTGTCTGGGAATTTTAATGCCAGCCATTGTTCCAACCTACCAATAGGCAAATTGCACTCAATATGTTTGAATTTATGTGTCACAATCAAAAGCTCACATCAAAGCTCAGCTACCCAATGTTATTATTATAGCATGAAAAGTATTCAATAAAAATATACCACAAAAAATGAGGATTATCGTAGGAGTACACCATCTCTTGGAAGGTCTCCACAGCCTGTCTAAAGAATCACTCACCTCCACAAAATAGAAACAGGGAAGCAGTGTCATGCTGTCCTTTGGAGGGCGGGCTTTGTTCTTCTCTTTAGGAGATATCATGGCCCCCACTGGGCTGAAAGATGAGAGTGGGGGGCCCAGAGGACACCTGTGTAAGATAAGAAGAAAATAAATTTTGGCATTTATAGTTTTTAAAAAACATCACTAATATATGGAATTAAGTGCATATTCTCCCAGGAAAGCTGCTTAACTTAAAGGGACACTATAGTCACCAAAACAACTTAGCTTAATGAACTAGTTTTGTTGTATATCATACCCATTGTCAGTGGCGTACTAAGTATGGGGTGGGGGTGTGGGTGGTCCGCCCCGTGTACCACTCACTAGGGGGTGCCATGACCAGAGCGGCCTTAGGATGTGTGAGCTGTGCACATGGACCGGTTGCCATGGCAGCCGCACAGCTCACACACGCAGGGACAGGCAGCCGCAGAACTTTAAAACCGCCACATCTAAAACAAACAGGACAGAGCTAATCGGCAGCAGGCGCAGAGCCAAACCAGCAGCAGGGGCGGAGCTAAACACAGCCTCCACCCGCTGCTGTTACTGCTGCACATCGAGCTTCCCAAACAACTACACACCAGGGACTGAATTTACTTCTCCTCCCGCCCAAGCTGACTGTAAGTCAGAGGAAGGGAGAGATAGAGTGTGTGTGAGACTGTCTGCCTGTAACTGTGTGTGTGTGTGTGAGACTGTGCGTGTGACTGTCTGCCTGTAACTGTGTGTGTCTGTCTGCCTGTGACTGTGCGTGTGTGTGTGTGACTGCCTGCCTGTGACTGTGTGTGTGTGTGACTGTCTGCTTGTGACTGTGTGTGTAAGACTGCCATCCTGTAACTGTGCATGTTTGAGACTGCCTGCCTGTAACTGTGTGTGTGTGTGTGTGTGTGTGCGTGACTGTCTTTCTGTGACTGCCATCCTGTAACTGTGTGTGTGTGTGACTGTATGCCTGTGACTGTGTGTGAGACTGCCTGCCTGTAACTGTGTGTGTGTGTGTTACTGTCTTTCTGTGACTGTGTTTATGCCTGTAACTGTGTGTGTAATTGTCTGCCTGTAACTGTGTGTGTGACTGTCTGCCTGTGACTGTGTATGACTGCTTACCTGTTACTCTGTGTGTGACAGTGTGCCTGTGTGTGACTGTCTGCATGTAACTGTGTGTGTGTGCGTGACTGTCTTTCTGTGACTGACATCCTGTAACTGTGTGTGTGACTGTATGCCTGTGACTGTGTGTGAAACTGCCTGTCTGTAACTGTGCGTGTGTGTGTGAGACTGTCTTTCTGTGACTGTGTTTATGCCTGTAACTGTGTGTGTAACTGTCTGCCTGTAACTGTGTGTGTGACTGTCTGCCTGTGACTGTATGTGTTTGTGTGTGTGTGACTGCTTGCCTGTAACTCTGTGTGTGACAGTGTGACTGTGTGTGTGACTGTCTGCATGTAACTGTGTGTGTGTGTGTGTGTGTCTGTCTTCCTGTGATTGGGGGATGTTGCCTGTTACTGTATGTGACTATGTGACTATCGGCCTGTAATTGGATGTGTGACTATCTGTAACTACAGGGAGTGCAGAATTATTAGGCAAGTTGTATTTTTGAGGATTAATTTTATTATTGAACAACAACCATGTTCTCAATGAACCCAAAAAACTCATTAATATCAAAGCTGAATATTTTTGGAAGTAGTTTTTAGTTTGTTTTTAGTTATAGCTATGTTGGGGGGATATCTGTGTGTGCAGGTGACTATTACTGTGCATAATTATTAGGCAACTTAACAAAAAACAAATATATACCCATTTCAATTATTTATTATTACCAGTGAAACCAATATAACATCTCAACATTCACAAATATACATTTCTGACATTCAAAAACAAAACAAAAACAAATCAGTGACCAATATAGCCACCTTTCTTTGCAAGGACACTCAAAAGCCTGCCATCCATGGATTCTGTCGGTGTTTTGATCTGTTCACCATCAACATTGCGTGCAGCAACAACCACAGCCTCCCAGACACTGTTCAGAGAGGTGTACTGTTTTCCCTCCTTGTAAATCTCACATTTGATGATGGACCACGGGTTCTCAATGGGGTTCAGATCAGGTGAACAAGGAGGCCATGTCATTAGATTTTCTTCTTTTATACCCTTTCTTGCCAGCCACGCTGTGGAGTACTTGGACGCGTGTGATGGAGCATTGTCCTGCATGAAAATCATGTTTTTCTTGAAGGATGCAGACTTCTTCCTGTACCACTGCTTGAAGAAGGTGTCTTCCAGGAACTGGCAGTAGGACTGGGAGTTGACCTTGACTCCATCCTCAACCCGAAAAGGCCCCACAAGCTCATCTTTGATGATACCAGCCCAAGCCAGTACTCCACCTCCATCTTGCTGGCGTCTGAGTCGGACTGGAGCCTCTCTGCCCTTTACAATCCAGCCACGGGCCCATCCATTTGGCCCATCAAGACTCACTCTCATTTCATCAGTCCATAAAACCTTAGAAAAATCAGTCTTGAGATATTTCTTGGCCCAGTCTTGACGTTTCAGCTTGTGTCTTGTTCAGTGGTGGTCGTCTTTCAGCCTTTCTTACCTTGGCCATGTCTCTGAGTATTGCACACCTTGTGCTTTTGGGCACTCCAGTGATGTTGCAGCTCTGAAATATGGCCAAACTGGTGGCAAGTGGCATCGTGGCAGCTGCACGCTTGACTTTTCTCAGTTCATGGGCAGTTATTTTGCGCCTTGGTTTTTCCACACGCTTCTTGCGACCCTGTTGACTATTTTGAATGAAACGCTTGATTGTTCGATGATCACGCTTCAGAAGCTTTGCAGTTTTAAGAGTGCTGCATCCCTCTGCAAGATATCTCACTATTTTTGACTTTTCTGAGCCTGTCAAGTCCTTCTTTTGACCCATTTTGCCAAAGGAAAGGAAGTTGCCTAATAATTATGCACACCTGATATAGGGTGTTGATGTCATTAGACCACACCCCCTTCTCATTACAGAGATGCACATCACCTAATATGCTTAATTGGTAGTAGGCTTTCGAGCCTATACAGCTTGGAGTAAGACAACATGCATAAAGAGGATGATGTGGTCAAAATACTCATTTGCCTAATAATTCTGCACTCCCTGTATGTGCGAGGGACTATGTGCCTGGGACTGGACTCTGAAGACTTTTGCTAATATTGTTGTGTAATAAAATGAATTCCTTTGTAAGGGGCTTTAGAGGGAGAGGCAGCTTTTTGGGGGAAGGGGTGCAGGAGGTTTATGGAAGGGGGGTGCAGGGGTTTATAGAAGGGGGAAAGGGATTTTGTTTAAGGGGGGCTGAACACAGGATCTGCCCCAGGTGCCAAATGTTCTAGGTACGCCCTTGCCCATTGTAGATCATATCCCTGCAGTCTCACTGTTCAATTCTCTGCCATTTAGGAGTTAAATCACTTTGTTTATGCAGCCCTAGGCACACCTCCCTGCATGCGATTTACACATCCTTCCTAAACACTTCCTGTAAAGAGTCATCTGAGGTTTATGCTACCTTTATTGCAAATTATGTTTAGTTTAGAATTTCTAATCTCCTGCTCTGTTAATAGCTCACAAAACCTGCATGAGCCTCCTGTGTGTGATGAAAGTTCAATCTACAGAGCAGGAGATACAAACTTTTAAAGGAAGTTAACATCTGACTGAAAATTTATCTTTTTTGTTTTCATGCAGATTGTGTGACTTACAGCAAGGGTAGGTATGGCTGGAGCTGCATGAACAGAAACAATAGTGATTTAAATTCTAAATGGCAGAGACTTGAGCAGTGAAACTTCAGAGGCATGATCTATACACTATAACTGCTTCATTAAGCTAAAGTTGTTTTGGTGGCTATAGTGTCTTTACTGCCAGAAACATTGTTTTGTTTCGTTTTAGGAAACATTTCACACGCTCCACTCACATTTTGCTTTTGCTGGGAGTACATATGCTCACATATATTTTTTCCTTTTTCATAAATATCGTCAAAGATCCTCATGGTAGTGCAGCTCCCCTCCAAGTTTTTTTTTTTGTATTTTTATTTAAAGCAAACCTCTTGGTTCGGACTAATTATAAGTGCATGTTAGAATAAAACATGCTGTGTCTGCATTTCCTCCTCCCCTTATTGATGGCTAGAAATGCAGTTGACAGACTAATCAACGCCAATGTTTTAGAGGTTTTTTTTTTAGTTTTTTTTTTTTTAAATAGTCCCCTTTTCTGGGTACAGACCTCTCATACCTGCTTAGTCTGCTTTAACAGGAATTATGACATCACCCATTGGCTTTGCATTGGGTCTGTGTATTGTTCTGTCTCCCAGCACTGTCGTTGCATGACAGAACCTCAGGGTGGAGTAGGACCTCTTCAAAGTTGCTGCTGTTTGCCAAATGCATGGATCTATAGGTGCAAATATGTCCAAGTGTTCTCTATACTACCAGTCAAACACTGATTTAATAGATCAGAATTTCATTTTAAACCGGCATTGGAACATTCAACATATATATTTATTTATTTAATTATTTTTTAAACATGCTACCACATAAGTTCGGTTTTAGGCAGTCAAGAATCATAATTATTCAAAAGGATCTAATTCATTTTTTTTTACTAAAACTTATTTTTCACTTACAGAGCAAAAGGCAAGCTAGTTGTTATATCAGAGGAAACTGAAGGGCCTATGGGGTTTTAAGTGTATTTCAGTCATTACATGTGTCTATGAGCAGTACTAAATACATGACTGCAATTGGCAAAACGTGGCATTGTATAAAAAGACCATTGTTTATGCAAGATAAAAAGACATCTGAAATGATTTTAGGGTTCTTATCTCGCAGATTTAACAATACAATGAAATATCAAGATATCACATCATTCTCTTATGCAAGAGCAAGCTATATAACATGTGGGACTATATAAAATGAGTGTTTTGAAATGCAAAGCATAGACACATGCATAATATTATACCTGGAGATATAATACTAGGAGAATAAACCTTATGTACAGGTAACATTACTCAGAATTAAGAATATGCATATCACCTAAAAATATGAACATATAAAACACACACACTCACATATTTTAATATGATAATAAAAGCTGAGATGTTATTAACATGATATGATATTATATTATGATACCAATAATATAATAAAATGCTGAGTGATAAATGTACATATACATAATAGGATATGCCAACATGACAGCGTGCAGTCATTATGGTATATCATTAATTTTAGCCTACTAACATGCCAAGGGATATAACATGTAGATTAATATATTAATAAGCAATGTGATATAGTGACAGTATGTATGCATGAATATAATAAAATGAAGTGTATAAGTAAATGCATGCACATAAAACCATGCCCAGTGATAATACAGGCAGAGTAATGTGATATAATTAAATGAAGCACACAATTAAATTATGCAAAATTACATGCACAGCAAATGAATTGAATATTATCTGCACATAATGAATAGCCCAGACTCCTAGTGCATCTTCCAAGCAGACACATACAGGCACACACCTCTTCAGAGATACCCAATTATTGCATTTACCTGTCGAAGTAGGAAGATGCAGGACAGATGGTGGTAGCATCAATTCTACCCAAACTGGAGAAAAAGGAACAAAGACGGTGGTAGATAATAAGGAGCGAGGGTAAGACAGAGATGGATGTCGATTAAAAAAAAGAGGGGTTGGAAGGAGATAGACAAGGGGGGTGGAGGGGTGGGGGAGGTATTTCGGGTACCAGTAATCTCTGTACTCCTATTCAACAATAGAGAGCTAGATGAGACCAGGGAAGGGAGTGACACTCCTATATGGCTGAAAGAGAGAAGAAAACGTGCAAGCTAAAAAGACCACCTCTACAAATCCGCCCAGCATGGCCAGCCCTCCATAGGGATATACCTCCAACAATGACCCTAAGCTAGTCAGGTCAGGTCTGTTGTTAGTCTGACCCGAGAATGGTGGAGAGACAGAGCGGCTGGGGGAATTACTGGCTGAGACTGGGAGAGAGAATGAGTTGAGGTTTGTGTAGAAGAAACAGGGATTGAGAGAGAGAAAGCTGGGCTGGAGGGACAGACAGAGGAGGAGACAGAGATGTAAAGAGGCAGTCTGCAGCACACACCAAAGCCACCACCACCACAGCCTAATGGTGTGTGTGCTTGCTATTTAATATATATGACTAAATACATGTATATCTGTTGTGCTGAACACTCATTTTATGTATGTGTGAGTTTGCATGGGTATCAATATATTATTATTATTATTTTCAACGTGTTTTGTATCTGGCCCTATGAATGTCTGTATGGATACCTGCAGTGAATCAAGTGAACCCATCATTGTTAAACACACACTTAACATAATCAATGAAAAAATATTATATATTGACATAATATTGAGATTTAAATGGTCAAAAAGCTTTATTCACTATACAGGGAACTGGCAAATAGCAAAATGCAAACAGAAACATTCAAGATTGAAAAAAAAATGGATTCTAAAATTATTTTTTTTTAACTTATATTTTTCTCAAAATTTTCTCGAACATTGTATTGTTTAAACCCTGAAATCACCATAATCACTTATAGTGTAAGGAGGCTATATGTGCCAGCCATTGCTTTTTTTCTTAAATATATATATTTTTTTCAGTTGGTTTCTCCAAAACCCAGGGTCTGTTTGACACTTTAAGCCCACCCCGTGTGCCGCTTAAGTGATAATGGATGTTTCACCTTATATTTACCTGGCCATGATATTTCTATGGGTTGGAAGGCTTTGGCTGTGCCAAATCACTGGAACCCCCTTCAAAACAATGCAAGTGAGAAAGACCAGCTTTGAAGGGGTTAAGACTGATTTGATCCAGCTGGGGTGGGCTTTGGGTGGTGCAGAAACTCAAACTTTTTGAAAACTGACAAAAACCCATCGAACTTCACCCATAGTCTCCGTACACCATAACCACTACAATAAGCTGGAGTATCCCTTTAAGTTATGTTTTTCCTGCAACGAGTCAATATGTGTTTTAGTTTTACTTGCACACAATGGGTGTGCACACCAAACTTCACTGATGTAGCAAATAAAAGGACAGTTTGTTTGTGCATTTGTATTTGGCTGGAATGACCGTGATGCTAAATTAAATGACACGAATTAAAAAAAAATACACTCATGCAGTAATACACCATGCAAAGATATACACCCTGAGAATGTTTAAAGCACACAGCATATATCAGTAGGTCCCCTGAGAGTACATATATTGTGTTAACATGTGATCAGCTCCCCCCGTGGTTTCCATAGAGAAATTTCAGACTTTCGGAGGAACAAAAGAAACATGGAAGGATTGTTTGAGTGCAAGTGCATGGGGGCGTTGGGAAAGAGAAAAGGGGTATACTAATGTTGGCCATGTAACCGCTGTCTATGCTGTATAAAAAGACAAGAAGACGTTAGTCAACATTTATTTTAAAGGACCTAATAACTCAAAAAGACCTGCATGTGCTGAGCATCTCATACTGTGTGTCCCAGTTACCTAGCAACAGGAAGATGTGTTTGCCGCCTCTTGGGCACCTGCCCTCCTGCCCCCACCTCGCTCCCTGAGGCGTTTCTGTAAATACTGAACTAGCATCGGAGCGCACAGTGAATGGGATAACAAATATATTGCAGTGCATCTCTTAAATAGCAGACATCACTAAGTATTTAATGTTGGTTTTTGTTTTATTTATTTTTTTATAAAGGGTGGGGGGGTTGTTTGATAAACATGTACACCAACATTTTAATCGTCCCCATGATATGCTTCTGGCAGTGGAATTGTTCATTTTTGCTCTAGAGTGATGGACCAGCTAATCACACTGATATACTGGAATGATGGTTATGCCGCAATCTGTGTGTGTGTGTGTCTGCTCCTTCTAAATATAAATACTTTAAAATGTCCCTTCCTCCAATAAGACAATGTCCATCTTGATGCTAAAGCTTTTGGCCATTTTTATGCCACTACCCATTTTCCCTTACGATAGAAACCCAAATCCATGCCAAGAGGCATAGCTCAAAACCCTCACATTACCAATTAAACACTCATTTAACTTCATTGTGTTCCTCATACAACAAGGGATTCCGCATGGCATTTATAAATTTTTTTTAAAAAAAAGTAAAAAAAAAAAAAGACTTCTGTACAGTCACAGCCTATATCAGATGCCCAAAAGGTAGATTCCCAGTTGTTGTAGAACTACAACTACCTTGATGCTTTGCATGCTTTTTGGAATGCCTTTACAATGGCAAAGCATCATGGAAGCTGTAGTTGTAAAACATTTGGTGCTCTACCTTTTGGGCACCCCTGGCCTATACCAATAATGGCATGTTTTAGCCCGAGCACCAAATCTTTGTAGAAGTTGAGTTTCTTTCACCCTTTTATCATCTAACTACTTTCTTGCCTTTTTAATTACTCCACTGTACACTCTCCACATTTTAGTTCCTGCTTCTCTCTGCTTGAATTTTAATTTATCTCCTTTCCACAGTTCTGTCCTCTGATCCATCTCAATTTCTCGTCCCAGACATATAACGATGTTTGTGCCCTATTTCTGCTCCTCTCAACCAGTGCCTTTCGTAACACACTTTCCATATAAACTATCTTTTAGAGCTCACTCCACTTTTTCATTTTACCTTCTCTCTTTAAGTCTTGATTGCTATTTCCTGACCTAATGTGTTTTATACCCCACCTCCTATAGACTGTAAGCTTGTTTGAGCAGGGTCCTCTTCAACCTATCGTTCCTGTAAGTTTTCTTGTAATTGTCCTATTTATAGTTAAATTCACCCTCTCATAATATTGTAAAGCGCTACGGAATCTGTTGGCGCTATATAAATGGTAATAATAATAATAATAATAATAAGTCTCTCACTTCAATGTGACACAATTCTGGCTCCCGCAGAGATACAGATGCCAATTATTGGCTTAGAACTTCAGCTGACTGCACATAGCCAATGACTAACATTCTGCTCAGTGAAGGTTGAACAGAATTGACATTAGTTATCCAGGAAATCTGGTTCTCGTGGCTGATGACATCACATTCACGCTGCCGGAGGTGTAACTGAGAGGAGGGTTAAAGTTTGTACAGACTCCAGGCACTATGACCACTTCAAGTTACTGAAGTTGTTATGATGCTTTGAGTAAAGATTTATGTATTATCTATATAATGTTTTAATAATAAAGGGCAATTTGAGACTCTATTATCTCTTTAACAATGGGTTGGCATGACTTACAATATTGATCCTACACTTCTTTAGCATTTGACCCTTGTCTCTAACCTTTCCATATATTTACCCTTCCATTAAATATTATATTTTGTCCTATATTCATTATTTTTGCAATATTAGTTTCCTCTGGTCTACAACAACATTAGGCCATCCCATTAAAACTGGATACCATAATCATGATATTATAGGAATTTATTCGCTTAACACAGAAATTTTGTGAATTTAAAAACAATACAAAATCTAGGCATAAATATATGACTTAGAAAAGTTCTCCAACTTGGCCATAAAGGACAGAGACTAAACTTTTTAGAGCGCGTTAATAAAAAGGAAAGCATAGTGAGTCACAAAATAAAAATTACAGCTGAAAGGAAAATACAAGTACTGGGGCACATTGGGGGCAGGAGTCCTATATGTTTAAATTTTTTGTCCTAAACCAGGCAAAGGGGAGTAGTTACCCTACTGTTAATGCTGCCGTGCTTAGCCTGCTTAGTTCTTATTTTCTTCCTTTCAATGCACTGATATGGAAACATAGAAATATAGAATGTGACGGCAGATAAGAACCATTCGGCCCCTCTAGTCTGCCCAATTTTCTAAATACTCTCATTAGTCCCTGGCCTTATCTTATAGCTAGCATAGACTTATGCCTATCCCATGCATGCTTAAACTCCTTCAGCTGGAAGGCTATTCCATTCATCCACTACCCTCTCAGTCAAGTAATACTTCCTGATATTATTTTTAAATTTTTGCCCCTCTAATTTAAGAATATGCCCTCTTGTTGTGGTAGTTTTTCTTCTTTTAAATATAGTCTGCTACTTTACTGTGTTTCGATTCCCTTTATGTATTTAAATGTTTCTGTCATATCCCACCGTCTTGTCTTTCCTCCAAACTATACATGCTAAGAACCTTTAACCTTTCCTAAGTTTTATCCTGTAACCCACGAACCAGTTTACTAGTTGTGACTGACCGCCTGGCACCCCGACTGGGTGACTCTGCCAATCGCTGCTTCCTAGTCGCCTTGAGTACCATAAGCACCGCACCAGACACCATCAACACTGAAGCCCCTTAGCCGCCACAGCTTGGCTGGGGTCTCGCCGTCCACCACCCACCCTGGACCAAAGACCAGGATCCAGCTTCCAGTGGGTGAACCTCTCCTACTCCAGAGAGTATAGCAGGAACAGCTCTTATAAGAACTAGTGGTTCTAGCTTGTATAGCAGGTCCCTACAAACACGAGGCGAGGCTGTTGAGGGTAAAGTTGGACTAGTTTTCATGGTGCCACACTTAGCCTTATATGACAGTCCCTATGCAAGGGGTACGCCCACATGGACCTTGTGGGGAACTGAGATACAATATTTACAGACCTATAAGAACAGTATTCTAATGCACGACACTCTCACACATAGCATACAATCCCTCCCCTCTGCCTGGGAGATAATTGAGTCATATACTGTATTAACCCAATTATCTCCAGACAGAAAAAACACACATTTCTATAAAGTCCCAAAAGTACCCCAAAACACATAATATCCCAACAAATGTTACATCACCTGATAGCCCTGATCTGGGTGACCAACGTATCCAAAAAATCACCCAGATCAGTTCAGGAGTTCAGGAATTCTATGGAAGTCATAGTTACTACCGACCGCACGCATGGTCCAATGCCCAAAACGGTTCCATAGAATCGTGGCTAAGTGCCGTTGGCGACCTAACAGGAAACGTGAAGTTTTTATGCCGAAAATAGTTCCATAGAATCGTGGCTAAGTGCCGCTGGGGGACCAACCAGGATCCACAAAGTCTTCATTCTGAAAATAGTTCCAGGGCATTCGCGGCTAAGTCCCCCTGAAGTCTATTCGCGGTTTTGGTCCATGCGAACAGCCACCAGGGAGCCAGTCTTCGGTTCTATGGAAAGTGCTGAACCAGGGGGAATAAAATATGGGTAATTACAGCCATTGACTTGGCCCATAGTCTTTTGGCAAAAGGCTGGCCAGCAGGCCCCTCCAAGCACCCGTGACGAGGTTCAGTTCATCACATTAGCCCTTCTCTGAACTCTCTCCAAAGTATCAATATCCTTCTGGAGATAGTCTCCAGTACTGCGTACAATACTCCAAGTGAGATCTCACCAGTGATTTGTACAATGGCATGAGCACTTCTCTCTTTCTACTGCTAATACTCCCTGTACAATCAAGCATTCTGCCAGCATTTCCTGTTGCTCTATTACACTGTCTGCCTACCTTTAGGTTATCTGAAATTATTACCCCTAGATCCCTTTCCTAGGTTAGGACTATGTGAGGTTAGGACTCTATCAAATATTCTATACTTTGCCCTTGGGTTTTTACATCCAAGATGCGTTATCTTGCACTTATCCACATCTAAATCATTTGCCATTTGGCTTATCAACCCTGTTACATAGTTTGTATCATCAGCAAAAAGACACACCTTACCATCGAGACCTTTTGCAATATCACTAATAAAAATATTAAAGAGAATGGATCCAAGTACAGATCCCTGAGGTACCCAACTGGTGACAAGACCTTACTTCGAATATACTTCATTGACTACAACCCAATGTTGCCTGTCACTCAGCCAGTGCCTAACCCAGTTAACAATATTGGAATCCAAACTTAAAGATTACAGTTTATGATAAACTTTCTATGTGTGATAGTGGCAAAAGCCTTACTGAAATCTAGGTAAGCAATGTCTACTGCACCACCCTGATCTATTATTTTAGTTACCCAATCAAAAAAATCTATAAGATTAGTTTACTTCCCTGTTTTCTCTGATCTTGAAATCCATGTGATTGTAGATGTTCAACAATCCTACCCTTTAACATGGTTTCCATTACTTTCCCCACTACTGAAGTAATGCTTACTGTCCTATAGCTGCCTGACTCCTCCCTATTACCTTTCTTGTGAATGGGCACAACATTCGCTAACTTCCAATCTTTTGGGACTACTCCTGTTAACAATGATTGGTTAAATAAATCCATAATGGTTTTGCTAGTACACCACTAAGCTCTTCTAATAACTTTGGGTGTATTCCATATTCTTCTACATATCTTATTTTTTTTTTAATCTAACAATCCTTGATTTACTTTACTTTTCTCATTTATGTATCTAAAAAATGTTTTATCCCGCTTTTTTTACTGACTGGGCTATTTTCTCTTCTGTGTGTGATTTAGAAGCTCTGTAACTTGCTTAGTTTAGCTATTTCTGCCTAATCTTATAAATCTGTCTATCTTCATCACTCTGTTTTTTTTTCTTTTATAATTACTAAATGCTAACTTTTTGTTTTTTACTACTTAGGCCACTTCTGCGGAGTACCACAGAGGTTTCTTTAGTTTTTTGCTCTTACTGACACGCCTAATGCAATTTTCTGTTGCCTTCAGTAGTGCAGCTTTTAAATAATCACATTTCTCTTGGACAACATTTAAACTGCTCCAGTTTTGGACTCAGCCACTGTTCTTATATTAAACCACACTGACTGATGATCACAGGATCCTAAACTTTCACCTACAATAATATCTGATACCAAATCTCCATATGTTAGCACTAAATGTAGTATGGCCTCCTTACAAGTTGGCTCCTCAACAACTTGTTTTAGAGAGAGTCCCAGTAGGTATTTTAGAATATGTGTGCTCCTGGCACAAGCAGCTATTTTAGTTTTCCAGTTCACATCCGGAAGATAAAGTCACCCATGATGATAACTTCCACCTTTATTGTCATTTTAGCTACCGTATATACTCAAGTATAAGTCGACCCGAATATAAGTCGAGACCCCTAATTTTACCCCAAAAAACTGGGAAAACTTATTGACTCTAGTATAAGACTAGGGTGGGAAATGCAGCAGCTACTGGTAAATTTCTAAATAAAATTAGATCCCCCCAAAATTATATTAATTGAATATTTATTTACATTGTGTGTATATAATGAATGCTGTGTGTGTGTGTATATAATGCAGTGCGTGTGTATATAATGCAGTGTGTGTGTATGAGTGCAGTGTGTGTATATGATGCAGAGTGTGTTTGTGTATGTGATGCAGAGTGTGTAACCTTGGTGGGGGGCGGGCATTTTTATTATTTTTTTTATTATTATTATTTTAATATAAAAAAAATTATTCTTTTTTATTTTAATATTATTCACATTTTTTTTTTTTTAAGGAGGGCTATATTATTCCGTGGTGGTCCAGTGGATGGGCTGTGCAGGAGGGGAGCCAGCAGCAAGCTGTTACTTACCTTTACAGCAGCTCCGGTCAGCTCTCTTCTCCTCCGTGCCATTCAGCTCCACTGTAAATCTTGCGGTCTTCCTGCCGCGCGGCGCGTTGCCACGGTAACCCGTGGCAACACTCTGATGGCCGCGGCTCTCGCAAGACTTACACTGAAGCTGAACGGCATGGAGGAGAAGGGAGATGAACGGAGCTGCTGTAAAGGTAAGTAACAGCTCTCTCCCAGCCCCCAACAGGACCGCCGGGCTTGTAATGAGCCCGGCGGTCCTGGTCTGTATTATGGCAATGTAAGTTGCCATAATATAGACATTGACTTGAGTATAAGACAAGTGGGGTTTTTTCAGCACAAAAAATGTGCCGAAAAACTCGTCTTATACTCGAGTATATATGGTATTTCCTCACATAGTAGATTATCTAACTCTTCTATTTGTCCTGGGGGCCTATAAAGCACACCTACATGAGTTACTGTGTGATTACCAAATTCTAACGTAACAGACTCTATGTTCGCCTCACTAACTTTTATTAGGCTAGGTTTTATGCTATCCTTCACATACAGGGCCACCCCTCCCCCTTTTTTGCCCTCTCTGTCTTTTCTATATAAATAATACCCTGGTATTGTTATGTCCCAGTCTTATCAGTAATAGCAACATGTTGCTCAATCTGTGGTGCATTAAGTGACATTATGGGACTTCATGTTTACGGATAGCTACCCTGTAGGCAGACAGTATTTCTCACCTCATCTTAAAGGGACACTGTAGTCACCAAAACAACTTTAGCTTAAGGAAGTAGTTTTGGTGCATACGTCATGCACCTGCAGTTGGACTGCTCAATTGTCTCAAATTTATGAGTTATATATTTTTTATATACAGTCTTAGTCACACCTCCCTGCAAGTAAGTGTGCAGCCTTCCTAAACACTTCCTGAAAAGTCACCTAGATATTTTAGATTCCTTTATTGCACAGTCTGTTTAATCTAGAATTTAGTATGCCCTGCTCTGTTAATAGCCTTCTAGAGCCTGCATGAGCCTCCTGTATGTGATTAAAGTTCATATAAAGTAAGTTAACATCTGATTGAAGATGAAATCATTTTTTCATGCAGGCTGTATGAGTCCCAGACAGGAAAGTGTGGTTAGGGCTGCATAAACAGAAACAAAAGTGACTGAACTCCTAAATGGCAGATAATTGAGCAGTGATCTAAACACAAAACATCTTCATTAAGGTGAAGTTGTTTTGGTGACTGTAGTGTCCCTTTAAGGGTGACATGTGTCACTGTGTTTATAAATAACCAGCTTTAAAGACTCATTTAACTAGAAACTACACTAAGAAAAAACAAAGACAGAGGCACACTAACAAATCAAAAAAAGCTTTAACACTAACAGGAGTTGCACAGTTGTAAGAACACAGACTGTACCCAGAAGTTTTATTACCTCTTTTACATCGTAATGTACAAAGCTTTTGTTGATCAAATATTGTATTGCCTGCAACTCCAAGAATATTATCTATGTGCTAGAATACCCATACGGGTTTCAGTATGTTGGGATGGCAAAGAATCAGCGAACACTGCAGGAACATCATAAACGGCAACTATAATGCCGTATCCAAACATTTCATAACACACAAGAATGATCCTACATTTTTAACAGCATATGGAATACAAAAGTGCAATAAATCTTGGAGAAGAGGTGACATTAAAGAAAATTCTAGGTAGGACAGAAATTAATTGGTTATACAACTTAAAACCCCTACAACTAAATGGCCTTAACATAGATTTCTATAATTTCCTCTAAACGTGTTTTTTTTTTAAATCGAGTTTTTTTGTAATCCTGCATTTGTACCTCTTTATATTTTTATAAGCCCACTGTTATCTCCACTTGTTTATCAAATGTATATTTATTCAGTGTTTCCCTATTTATTCTTTTGTTTTAACTTGCATATTTTTTAACACCAATGTTTTTATATAACCACATATAGTGCAACCAGAATAATACGATCACATGACCCAGGCCAAAGACCATTCCCATATGGACATTGTGGTCTACCAAAGCTGATTCCATATAGCATGTATTTGCACTTAAAAATGTAAGTACATATCTTTGATTTTTGTTGTTGTTGTTGTTGTATATACTACTACAAACAGAGAGCACTGTATTTCTCCATTTTTGTATTTGCATTATATATACCCAGGCCCGGATTAACATAGGGGCTGATGGAGCTGCAGGCCCAGGCCCAGGCCCAGGCCCAAGCCCATGGAATAGGCCCATTAAAAAAAAAAAAAAATGTATTTTTTTTTTTTTACACACTACTCTTAGGTTTGCCACCTGACTGGTATTTTACTGGCACAGCCGGTATTTAAGGCTGCCTGGCAAAGCCGGTATTGCAGTAATACCGGCAATACAAATGCAGGTGTTTTTCTCAGAATAAATGGAGATTACTCTGCAATACCAGCACTGGCCAGTAAGGGTCACTATGTGTGGAGAGAGGCAGGGATAGGACGTTAGAGCATATCCCTCCCTGCCTCTCTCTACTACTCACTGATCCGTGGGGGAGCAGCTACACAGCACAGAGAGTCCATACAGCAGCTCTACAGCTCAGGTAAGTGAGGGATGGGGGAAAGACAGCAGGGACACATGGGGACACTGAGACACTAGGGGACACATGGGGACACTGAGACACTAGGACACATGGGGACACAGACACTGGGAGACCTGGGGACACAGACACTATGGAACATTGAGACACTAGGACACTGAGACACTAGGGGACACAGACACTAGGGGACACTGAGACACTAGGACACATGGGGACACAGACACTGGGAGACCTGGGTACACAGACACTAGGGAACACTGAGACACTAGGGGACACAGACACTAGGGGACACTGAGACACTAGGACACATGGGGACACAGACACTGGGAGACCTGGGGACACAGACACTAGGGAACACTGAGACACTAGGGGACATATGGGGACACAGACACAAGGTGACACATACACTAGGGGACACATGGGGACAAAGACACTAGGAGACACAGACACTGGGAGACCAGGAAACACTGAGACACAGGAAAACATGGGGACACTGAGACACTTGGGGACACTGGAAAACATGGGGACACTGGGACACATGGGGATGCTGAGACACATGGGGATGCTGAGACACATAAGGATGCTGTGAGACATAGGGAGACACTGAGACATTGGGACATGGAGACACTATGTCCCCATTTCTCCCAGTGTCCCCATGTCCCCCATCCAGTGTTGCTAGAGTCTCAGTGTCCCCAAGTCTCCCAGTGTCTGTGTCCCATGTCTCTCAGTGTGCCCAGTGTCCCTATATGTCCCAGTGTCCCCATGTCTATGCCCACAACCGTCCCCATGTCTCCCAGTGTCCCCAAGTGTCTGTCTCTCAGCCAATGTCTCCCAGTGTCCCCTAGTCTCCCAGTATCTGTGTCCCCGTGTCTCTGCGTCCCTAGTGTCTTAGTGTGCCCAAATGTTTCAGTGTCCCCATGTCTCCCAGTGTCTGTGTTCCTAGTGTCTCAGTGAGCCTAGTGTCCCTTTATGTCCCAGTGTCCCCATGTCTATGTCCACTACTGTCCCCATGTCTCCCAGTGTCCCCAAGTGTCTGTCTCCCAGCCAGTGTCCCCTAGTCTCCCAGTGTCTGTGTTCCCATGTCTCTGTGTCCCTAGTGTCTCCAAATGTTTCAGTGTCCCCATGTCTCCCAGTGTCTGTGTCCCTAGTGTCTCAGTGTCCCCATTTCTCCCATTTTCCCTAAATGTCTCAGTGTCCCCATGTCCTAGTGACATGGGGACACACTGAGACATTGGGACACTGGGAGAAATGGGGACACTGAGACACTGGGAGACTTGGGGACTGGGCGACATGGGAACACTGACACTGTGATACATAGAACACTGAGACATTGGGTGACTTGCGAGACTGAGACACTGGGAGCAATCCATCTATACAGCAGAATCAAACTGTGAGTAGTTTGTTGGTGATTTTACAGAATTTTCTCTAATGTCACTCCTTGTGATTATACAAATGATTAAGGCTGGTATTTTTTTTCCAAGCAAGGTGGCAACCCTAACTACTCTTCGCATACTCTTGCTTAAAGGAGCACTATAGGGTCATAAACGCAATCATGTATTTCTGACCCTATTATGTTAAAACCACCACCCTCACCCCTTCTTGCCTCCCTAAGTATAGTAAAATATAACTTGCATTCAAGTCTGCAGCTGCTGGCTCTGCCTCTGCCATGAACCATTATGGATTTATTACAATACTTCCCCATAGGATTGGCTAAGACTGTCAATTAGGCAGATCAGGGGCAAAGCCAGCACAAGTCCAACATAGTCCTGGCCAATCAGCATCTCCTCATAAAGATAAATTGAATCAATGCATCTCTATGAGGAAAGTAGAGATGACTGAACTCCTAAATGGCAGATAATTGAGCAGTGATCTAAACACAAAACATCTTCATTAAGGTGAAGTTGTTTTGGTGACTGTAGTGTCCCTTTAAGGGTGACATGTGTCACTGTGTTTATAAATAACCAGCTTTAAAGACTCATTTAACTAGAAACTACACTAAGAAAAAACAAAGACAGAGGCACACTAACAAATCAAAAAAAGCTTTAACACTAACAGGAGTTGCACAGTTGTAAGAACACAGACTGTACCCAGAAGTTTTATTACCTCTTTTACATCGTAATGTACAAAGCTTTTGTTGATCAAATATTGTATTGCCTGCAACTCCAAGAATATTATCTATGTGCTAGAATACCCATACGGGTTTCAGTATGTTGGGATGGCAAAGAATCAGCGAACACTGCAGGAACATCATAAACGGCAACTATAATGCCGTATCCAAACATTTCATAACACACAAGAATGATCCTACATTTTTAACAGCATATGGAATACAAAAGTGCAATAAATCTTGGAGAAGAGGTGACATTAAAGAAAATTCTAGGTAGGACAGAAATTAATTGGTTATACAACTTAAAACCCCTACAACTAAATGGCCTTAACATAGATTTCTATAATTTCCTCTAAACGTGTTTTTTTTTTAAATCGAGTTTTTTTGTAATCCTGCATTTGTACCTCTTTATATTTTTATAAGCCCACTGTTATCTCCACTTGTTTATCAAATGTATATTTATTCAGTGTTTCCCTATTTATTCTTTTGTTTTAACTTGCATATTTTTTAACACCAATGTTTTTATATAACCACATATAGTGCAACCAGAATAATACGATCACATGACCCAGGCCAAAGACCATTCCCATATGGACATTGTGGTCTACCAAAGCTGATTCCATATAGCATGTATTTGCACTTAAAAATGTAAGTACATATCTTTGATTTTTGTTGTTGTTGTTGTTGTATATACTACTACAA